GAGTATTATACCATGTAATTGTACCATATGACTTGTAAGCAAGTACAATATAAACATTTTATAGTCCGTCTTTGTGAATAAATTTTACATTTGGGGGGATTTCTGACCACACGGTCAGCAGTTGGAAATCACCAGCCACACCACGGGTTAAAGTCAGGGCTTTCTCCTCCCATAAAGAGTGGCAGTCTCAGAAATGCACATGGGCACTTCTACTCTCCCCACAGGGTAGCCGTGAGTCAGCATTGATTTGATGGCCGGGAGAAACTAATGTCTATTGTAGTTGATCTTTCAAGAACTATTGATGTCGAACAAATAACCGTTCCCAGACACTCCAGGAATGGTAAGCAGTTAGTAGTAACTATTATTCTCAGAGTCGGGTTCTAGACCATGTTTTGGTCATGGATTTTCTTGACAGGTGACTTGACTAACTCACCCTCTGGTACGGGAGTAAAATAGGGCGATGTTCAGAACCAGGTCGGATGGTCTTTTCTTATATTTGTTGATACTTACTAAGTCAGAAAACCTTGAGAAGATGGTAAGATAAATCATTATCCTATCATGTGTAGTTTAACTGAGACACTCTCAGCTGGACTTAGCACATCAGTAGAGGAACTCTGTATGGTGTAAATATTTTGTTAATGAGATTTTGGCATGCAGAAAGTAAGTGCTCAGCAGTGAGAAGAAAATCTATGTTCTTTTTGTTTCTTTGTTTTATTTTAAACTTTATTTCAACGTAACTGCCTACAGAAATACACTCATAATGGTTAATAGAATGCTATGTTCTTTTTTCTTACAGACAAGCAATCATCTCCTTGGACCAAAATCTTTTCCACTGGACAGATTATTAGCAATATTATATACCATCGTCGACAGTAGAGTTGCTCCCACTGCAAATATCTTTTCCCAGGTAAGCTCAATCACAGGTTATCAGCTGCCATCTTGGGCTCTTCGTGGAATTATTCAGTTCATACAGCTAGTAGAATTGCATGTAGTGATTTTCTTGTTTTAGCATATGTTATTTAACCACAGTGAATAACAGTTTTGTTAAGTAATTTAATATTTCATATATAGACTCTTTGGAGACCATTCTAAGTTCATATACACTTACAAGTATAACTTGTTGGCTCAGGCAACTAAATTTAGTTAAAAAAA